CAGCTGGGGGTGGGGGGCCACGGTGGGGACCAGAACATAAATAGACTATCCAATAGAGTTTGGTCAAGAGGCCTTTCCAAAGAGGGCTGTCCTCTCCAGTGGACCCTCCCTGTGGGCCTCGGCAGGGCATCGCCTCCCTCCTGGGCCCTGGGACAGTCTCCAGTTCGGTTGCCAGCGTGGTAAAGAGGGGACTCCTCGTAGCTGACCGACACTCACAGTATCCAGAGCTTCCACATTGCTCTTTCAGAGTCATGGCCATGCCCAACATTTGTCCCCATTTGTATCCAGCACAAGGAAGGAGAGAGCTAGGGAAACTGAGTGAACGGCCCAAGGTCTTCGTAAGCCAGTGGCTGACCAAACATCAAGCCCCACCCCTACCCCACACCCCAGCCTCAGGCCTAAGCTCCCTGCTACCTCGTAGGGTAGCTTATACCCACTCTGGGTCTTCAGTCAAGATGCATATCCAGGCTCTAAACCTGGGCACCCGACGGGCCCTGTGCATACCTCTGCCTCTCTCTTTCTGCGATACACCTCACATTTGACATGGCACCGGCCAATCCTTGATCTTTCTCCCTCACCCCGCCCCCTTCACCTCCAACCTCTCCCAGCATCCACAAATGCCGCCCCCCACCACCACCAGCCAGCAAATCTGAAACCAAGATGTTCTCCTTGAAGCCACCCTCTTCCCCACCCACACCACCCCTCACCAAGCCTCTCGTCTCCTCCACATCTCTGCCCCAGCCACCGTTGACCACGCCCCTTGCTCCCACCCTGGTCCCCTCTTGTCTGGCCCACTGCGGTGGCCCTCCCCCTGCTTCCTGGAGGCCACCCTGGCTCCTGCCCATCCATTGGCTTCAGATGCTGGCAGCTCTTCCTAGGGCAAGCCCCTTTGACGCTCCTCATCGCATGAAGGGAAGTTCTGTAAGCGTGATCCACATGGCTCAGGAGCCCTGCGTGACCTGGCCCAAGCTTCTCTCTCTATTTGCCTCCCGAGCCCTCCGCCCCACCAGCCTTCTCGCTTCCCCGAACAACCCATCTGCCTCCAGCCTTTGCTCATCTGAGACTCTACCGCCCGCCTGCCTCCAGTCTGCCAAACAGTGCCTTCTCCTTCTCCGTCAGATGTCAGCTCCAACAGCGCTTCCTCAGGGATGCCTGCCCTGATGCCCACGTGAAGTTGGGTGCTCATGGGAGGTGGGGAAGCATAGGGTCTGAAGGCAGGGGGTTGCGGTGGTTAGCCGCAGGGGGTCTGGAATCAAACTGCCAGGGTTCACAAGGCCAGGCTCCCCGTTTGCTCCCGGGGCTGACCATGGGCAACACACTTGCCCTGCGCCTCCGTGTTCGCCTGTGTGTAATGGGATCCCGTCAGTCCTTCCTTCCTAGAATTATGGGAGACTTGGTATTTGTGCTGTGCTTAGAGCAGTGCCTGCATACACTAGGACACTGGCCATCTGCATGTGACATGAGGCTGCCACAGGCACAAAGGGTGTCTCTCAGGGGCACCTTTCCTCCGGGTATACACATAGCACGTGGTGCCACCTGGTCATGACCCACGCGTCTCCATGTTATTATCTGACAACGTGAGTCTCTCTCAGGAAAACCTCAGCTCTACAAGGACACGGACCAGGCCTGGTTTTACCCCACTTATATTTCCATGGAGCCCTGGTAGTGTAGCGGGTGACACTGGCTGACCAGCCACGTCAGCAGTTCACAACCACCCCCCACCTTGCGGGAGAAAATTGAGACTTTCTACCCCCGGAGAGAGTTACAGTATCAAGACCCAGTTCTACTCTGGTCTGTCAAGTCCCCGTGCGTCGGAGTGGACTCGATGGCAGGGAGTTTGTCTTTGCACCAGGTTTCCCAGGCGTCCCTGGGCAGTGCAAACGGCTAGTGCACCCAGCTGCTAACTGAAGGGCTGACGGTTCGAGTGTAATCAGAGGTGCCTTGGAGGAAAGGCCTGACCATCTCCTTCCAAACAAGCAGCCACTGCCCACCTTCAGGAGCGGAGTTTTCTGGCGCCCCTGGGTCGCCGGGAGTTGGCATCCATTCGATGACATGGGATTTGCTTCAGTGTTTCTTGGTTTGTGATCTCTCTCTCTCACACCCGGTCTGGAGTGTGCCACCTTAGCGGAATCCAATCTTTGCTTTCCGGTTCAGAGCTGGGTGGAAGTGAAGCATGTCCCACGCTGGAGCTTACAGCATTCCCCTAGCCCAGTGGATTCTGTGGTCACCCAGGGGTCGGCCTGCAGCCAGCGGGCCAGACAGAAGCCAGCACAGGGTCTGATTTTGTGAATAAAGTTTTATTCGAACCCAACCATGTTCACACACAAGCCAAGGCTGATGAGGTGCTCCAACAGCAGTGCTGAGTCATCGTGAGAGGCCGGAAAAGCCAGAAAGGATGGGCTGTTTGTCCTGTTGTTGTTGTTGTTGTTGTTGCTGTTGCTGTTGTTAGGTGCCATCGAGTCGCGCCCGACCCATAGCGACCCACGCACAACAGAACGGAACACTGCCGGGTCCTGCACCATCCTCACCATCATTCCCATGTTTGAGCTCCTGGTGGCAGCCACTGGATCAATCCATCGATGACCTTGAGGGCCTTCCTCTTTGTCGCTGCCCCTCTGCTTGACCGAGCATGACGTCCTTCTCTGAGGGACTGGTCTCTCCTGACAACACATCCAAAACCCGCGAGACAAAGTCTCAACGTGACAGAACAAAATTAGCCAACCCCTGCTCTGCATGATTATCCGTTCCTTAAAACCAAGGCCCACGGCTTCCTGGAGTTGGCCTGAGCAGGGAAAGGGTTAACCTATGTGAGGCGCTGAGAATTAGGTCTGACGTGCATGTTCACAGGTGATGTAGCTCTGCAGTGCTGGCCCATGGTCGAATGCCCACCTTCCATGCTGGAGACCCGCACAGCCACAATCCCGATTGTCAGCAGAGGCTTCCGTGCGGCTAGGATGTCAGACAGGTTTCAGGGGAGTGCCCAAACTAAAACAGATTAGGAAGAAAGGTCTGGTGACCTACTTCCAAAAGCCGGCCACTGAAAGCCCTGTGGGTCTCAATAGTTCAACCTGCAACTGCTTGTGGGGATGGGGCAGGCCCAGCAGCGTTTGGTCCCTCCGTGTACAACCAGTCCGAATGTCACTGCTCCTCTGAGGGGCGCCTCAGCATTGAGACACCCCCCCCCCAGATTGAGTCGGAGGGCAGGAAATGCCACAGGGAAGTTGTGACTCACCTGAAGGGGTAGGACATCAGAAATGGCCCTCATCGCTGCTCTTTCTGGAACTCCTTCTAGTATCAGGCACAGTCCAGAGACAAGGGGGCTATAAAAATTCTTGGGGGGCGGGGAGACATTCATTATCTTGTAATCCTGTTTTTCCAAAACCAGTTTCAAGCCCCCTCATAATATAATGCTGCCACCATTCCCCAAAGATCTGGCTACAATGCAGGTTCCGGTGTCCTGGTTCCCAGTGGGCTCCATTTGTAAGCCTCCCAGGAGAGGCCAGTGCGACCAGTCTGGGGCTGTCCTTGGGGGCAACAAAGCCTGGGGACAGTCTGAGAGTTGGAAGCTGTGGTGACTCTTCCCATTTTACAGGAAGGTGGACACAGGCTGAGAGAGAAAGAGCCTTGTGCCCGGTGTCACAGTCAGGATCCAAGCGCAGGTGTAACTCATCTGGGCGACTGCCCGATTGACAGGACCTCCTTCATGGGACAGCTTGCTTGCAGAGGAAGGTCCCAGTTGCTCCCTCCCCAGGCTAGGTCTGGGCCCGCCAAGCCCAACCTCCCTAGGTGGATTGCTGGGTCCACTGCCAGCCCTGCCCCCTACTTTCTGGGCAGAGACCTCTCGGAGGGAGGCTGGTATTTGGGTTGGCTGTGCCGGGCTGTGAGGCTTCTGCTGAATTCCCCGCGGGCTGCTGTTATTCAGAGCATATCATAAGCTGCTCCAGAAACTTCTGAAGCCATTCCGGCTCCTCCACATTGCTCCGGGCTGGCTGAACACAGCAGGCTTCTCTGGCCTGTCGCCCTCCATCTTGTTCTCCATTCTCATTGCTCATACAGAGAGACGCACGTGCACTGGTGCTCACACGGTGCACACACGCTGACATGTGCACACGTGTGCCCCCCCACACACACACACACACACACACACGCCCATCAAACAAGCTCCCTGCACCACTCAGGATCCCTTCCCCTGCTGGCAGGAAGGTGGCGCTGGGGCATCCGGGCACCCAGCACAAACAGGTGGAGGGGAAACATCAGGCCCAGACCTGCATGAGGTCATCGCCCTGAGGGCCCCAGAGAGAGGTGATGCAGTGTGGCCCCCCAGATGCATGTCCCCAGTGAACATGCGTGGGTGTGTGAGCATGTCTGAGAATGTGTGTGTGTTGTGTCAGCGTGAACATGCATGGGTGTGGGGTGTGCACATGCATAAGAGTGCAAGGGCTCTCTCTCTCTCTCTCTCTCTCTCTCGCGCGCGCGCATGTGTGTGTGTGTGTGTGTGTGTGTGTTGGCATGAGCATGTAGGGGTGTGGGCTATGCACGTGTGTCTGTGTATATGTGGTCACGTGGAAGCACATCAAAGTGCAGAGGAGGGGACTGTGAGATGGGCTTTGAGGGATGGATAGGAGTTTGCTGCATCAAGAAGGGCAGGAAAGACATTCCAGCCAGAAGGCTCTGTAGGGCCAAAAGTCCAAGTATGAAAGGCAGCAGCCTGCCTCGTGGGGAGTAAGCTGCAGAAGTGAGAGGAGGCACGGGGACCCAGGACACAAGGCCAGTGGGCAGGCAGTGGCCGAGTCACCCAGTAGCCTGTGTAACCAGATCTGCTCCTCATGTCAGTGCGGAGCCCCCGGATGGCAGTGGCTTTCTCTTCCCCTACGTCCACTAGAGTTGCAAAGCAGCCTGACTCTGGGCCTGTGTCCGCAAAGTCCTTTTCAGGGGTGGGAGGGAGGCGCTTGTCTGCAGCACCCCTAGATTCACAGTCCCCTCTCCCCCTCGTGTTCTAGGGGCTGTGAGGGCCTCCAGCATCTTCCCCATCCTGAGCGTGATTCTGCTCTTCATGGGGGGACTCTGCATTGCAGCCAGTGAGTTCTACAAGACCCGACACAACATCATCCTGAGTGCTGGCATCTTCTTCGTGTCTGCGGGTAAGGGTGCTGGGCCGCGGGTGTGGGGTGGGTGGTAGGGGTGGGGTGGTGCTCAGCTCAGTGGCCAACAGAGGGAGCAGGGAGGAGGGAAAGGGAATTTGGGGCTTCCTTCCCCACAGCCACACCTAAACCGTCCCCGACCTATGCCCAAAGCCCCACCTTGCTTAGAAGAGGTCCATCCTTGGGGACAGAGATGTAGCAGTCCATCTCCATAAAGACGTGTCGCCTCAGAAACCCTATGGGGGAGTTTCGCTGCCCTACAGGATAGCCGTGAGTCGGAATCTATTGGGATGAAGTGAGTGGGTCTAAGATGCTTGAAAACTACTGGGCACAGGGAACCGGGTCCCAAACTCACAAGACAACGTTATTGCCGTGTGCTAGTGGGTCCACTGGAACTCACAGCAAATGCAGAGGGCAGAGTAGAACTTCCCGTGGGGTCTCCTAGACAGGAGTCTTTACAGAGACACACGGCCAGGTCTTTTCTCCTAAGGAGCGGCTGCTGGGTTCAAACTGCCGACCTTCCAGTTAGCAGCCAAATGCCTTCACCAGGCGGGAGCGGCTCAATAAGCTAGAATTGCTCGCTCACCAGGTGGCTGCCTGCCCCTGGCTTCTCTCCCCTCTTCCCCTGGGGCGTCCCTGGGCTGTTCTCTCTCCACAGAATGATTAAATAGGTGGCATTGGATCGCTAGGACAACACAGGACTGGGGCCGTGCCTCTGCCCCATCCCCAGACTCCGGGCACTAACCAGGCCTTTTCTCTGCCCCTACCCCGGCTCCGTGCCCACCCTGTGCCCGCAGGTCTGAGTAACATCATTGGCATCATAGTGTATATATCTGCCAATGCCGGAGACCCCTCCAAGAGCGACTCTAAAAAGAATAGTTACTCGTACGGCTGGTCCTTCTACTTCGGGGCTCTGTCCTTCATCATTGCCGAGATGGTCGGAGTGCTGGCCGTGCACATGTTTATCGATCGGCACAAACAGCTGCGGGCCACCGCCCGAGCCACGGACTACCTCCAGGCCTCCGCCATCACCCGTATCCCCAGCTACCGCTACCGCTACCAGCGCCGCAGCCGGTCCAGCTCCCGCTCCACCGAGCCCTCACACTCCAGGGACGCCTCCCCCGTGGGCATCAAGGGCTTCAACACCCTGCCGTCCACGGAGATCTCCATGTACACCCTCAGCAGGGACCCCCTGAAGGCCGCCACCACGCCCACCGCCACCTACAACTCGGACAGGGATAACAGTTTCCTCCAGGTTCACAACTGTATCCAGAAGGAGAACAAGGACTCTCTCCACACTAACACAGCCAACCGCCGGACCACGCCCGTATGAAGCCCGCTGCCAGGCCCGCGCCAGCCCGAGCCGCAGGGCCCAGGCCCAGCCTGGCGGCGGAGGGGCGGGGCCTGCGGGAGGCGCAAATCAGTTCAGGATTCGGGGCGGGTGGGGCGGGAGGGAACCAAACCATCCATCGGGAACCTTCCACAAGCAAAAAAAAAAAAAAAAGAACAAAAAACAAAGAAAATACACACACACACACAAAAAGCGAAAAAGATAACACGTAAACTTAAAAAAAAAGAACTATAAGAGGCACAGAGGAGCGAAACAACAGTAAATGTGGGGGGGAAATAAACGAGGGAAGAGAAACAAACTTAAAAAAAAACAGCGAGAGGGATTAAAAAAATTAAAAATAGAAAATAAATCTAAAAGAAAATGCATGATTTCCCATGTACCATTATTTTAACATTTAATAAAAGCCAATTTAAATGAAAAAAAAAGGGAATTAAGATAGCATTAAAGCAAAAATAAATAAACATTAAAAACCGAGACGGAGCGGAGAGGGAGAAGGCCGCTCCTCGTCTTCAGCAGGGTTTTCTGTTACATTGGTTTGGGGGCGATAATGTTTTCTTTTTTTATTTTCAACGTGGGGAGAATGACTATTCTGTTCCCTTTAACCCCCGTGGACTCTGCCTCCCTGGGCGAGTCAGGGTGGAGACTCAGGGGCCCCGGGGCGGGTGGGCCTCTGGTCACTGCCAGGTCCCTGGAGCCCAGGGGTGGGGGTGGGGGGAGCCCCCGAACGCTGGGCCTGCGCAGGGGCGCCGAGCCGACTGCGCAGCCCGAACGGGGCTTGTAGACCTCCAGGTGACCCAAGAGTCTGGTCCCACCTGTCCCTAAGGTGCCTGGAGGGGTGTACTTGGGGCTAGCCCAGCCCCTCTTTCCAGTCCTTAATGGTCCTTAACCCACTGTGATGACTTCCTACGCCATGAGGGAAGGAAAGGAGGGAGCCGGCTGCCGGTGGCTTACCGAGATGCCCAGAATCCCCCCGAAATCCTCAGGGTGAGCCTCATGGGGTCACCGGCCCCAAGTTCCTGTCCATGGGGTCAGGAGACGCCCACCCCCTGGGGGACATGAAGCAGCTCTCCCTCCTCACCCCTCACCTCAGGGCCCCCTGGTGACCCTGGGGCAATGGTGGACCCCCAGACTCACAGGCCCCGCCCACCTCCCTGGGAGGGGGCCCACTGACCCTTTGGGGGTCCTTGGACTCGCGATGCCCTTTAAGGGCCCAGCAGGTCCGACCATGACACAGCAAAAAGGTTTCTTTTTACAAAAGAAAAAGGAAAAACAAGTGGTGATTTTTTTAATAAAAAAAACCACAGAGTATAAATAAATGTAAATATATAATAAGTGGATTTACTTGCAAGAAAATCAGATAGTATTTTTCTTTTCATTCTTTTCCAGCTTTAAACTGTGAAGAAAAAAAAAACGGGGTGGGATGGGGGACTTAAAATTTAGCAGGGAACCTGTAAAGAGAAAACAGAAAATAAATATACAAATCCATTAAAAAAAAAAAGTTGTGAGTGATTAGAGCTGGGCTTCAAGCAGGAGGGAGAGATGGGCCCCAGCCAGCTGGTGGGGGTGCCTGTGAGGGAGTGGCCTCTCCCAAGCAGGACTCCGCTGCAAGAGTCACCGTGGGGAAATTAGACCTCCTACAAAGAGACCACAGACCCCATGTCCACACACATGCCCATTCATACACAGACAGCACACCCACACCTCACACGCACACCCCGCAGACACCAATATACACACTCACCTCGCATCCATGTATGCTCACACACACACACACCTCATGCACTCACACCTCACAAACACACACACAGACATGCACTCTCACACCTGGCACGCAAACGTGCACACAGACACAAACATACACCTCACACAGGTATTCACACAAACACATGCGCCCATACGCATGTACTCACACACACACTCAAGACAGCCACATCAACACATCCATACACTCACACTCACATAAATACACAGGAGGGGCTTTGAAAAAGTGGACGGGAAAATTCCATGCTCTGCCCATTCCAGTTTTCCACGAACTTTTGAAAGCCCCTGGCTCACACACACACACACACACACACACACACACACACGCAAATAGGCCTCTTGGCCTAGTGCTATAGTCACAAAGGCACGATTCACAAAAACAGACTCACACGCTCCCAAGCCATAAACACACACTCCACACCGGCTTGATGCCCACCCGTGCCCACCCACACACCGTGTGTACACACATGACACACTCCATGTTCCCCTGCACATAGGGCGCCGGTCTTGAAGCCAGGTCTAAAGTTCCTGTGGTAGGGTCTCTCTGGGTCTCAGGGTCTCCCAAGGCCTGTGGCTTTTCAGACTTGCCAGCCGCCCAGGGTGGGAGATGCAGGGGTGACCAAAGCACCTGCCATCCAGCCCCCAGACATCGAGAACATTCCAGATGGCCAGTCAGCCAGCCACACACACACACACACACACACCATATGCCTCCTCACTGTGCTCCCCAGCCCCTGCCCCCACTTCCAATGTCAGAGCAAAAGTGCACTCCTGCAAGCTCACCTCCCTGATGCCCAGGCACAGGGGGAAGCATCAGCAATCCCCAGAGCCACCCCTCATTCCAGCCCCCCTCTCTGTAATACCACAGCCCAGCCGCTGAGCCCAAGGGAGATCCCATGGAGTACATGGAAGTTAGCTTGGGAGGGGGTTAAGGCTCAGGAGACAGGAGCTTGGCCAAGGTTCAGTTCCAGAGTCAAGAGCAGCCCCCAAAACGCAAGTGATACCCCAGACAAGATCGTCTAAAGACTGAAGTCTGGGATAATTCCGGCCTTCTCTCCCCAAACAAAATGGGCCAGTTGTGGCTGAGAGCCTGCTGGTCATGCCAGGGCAGGTGAGGTGCTCAGCGGCCTCCGCCAGCTTCTCTCTTGGTTTGCCTGTTCTTGACCCTGGCCTGGCCTGTCACTTTCCAAGTTCAGCTCTCTGGGGCATTCAGGGAGCAGGCAGTGAGACTTCCTGGCCTGGTCCTTCCCCAGTGTCTTGGGTAGGGGCGGGGGTGTCCCTGGCTCTGCCCAGGTCAGCTGCCACCACCCCAGCACTCACTCCCAGCCTGAGCCACAAGGACATCTGCCAGCCCAGCCCACAAGTCCCAAGGGCTGCAGCCCCCCAGGGCAGAGCACTCTGGGCAGAAATCAGTCCCTGCCCCCACTTCACCTTGCCCACTGCCCCTCCAGATCCCCAACCTCAGCCAATCACAGTCTGGAAAGAAGAGGGAGAGACTACAAACTGGGGTTGAAAGGAGCCCAGTTCTCAGGCCCGGCAGAGTATTGGGGGTGCAGTCAGCTCTTGCTTCCAGGTGTGGGGCCTGGGTTTGGGATCTTCCATTTTAAAGGGCCATGGGGGCGGGGGGCACGTCATGGGAGAAGCGAACCCCAGCATGGACCAGAGAGAGGGCTAAGGGGTCCCAGAGGATGGAGGCAGCCGGGGGGAGACAGCAAGGACACTGTTTCTGGATGATTGCTGTGTCCAGCTCAAATCAGTTCAAGCAACCAACCTCTATGTTATTTTCTTGGTGGGTCCTGTACTTTTCTTTTTTTTTTTTCAGACTGTTAACAGAAAAAAAATTTTAAAAAGCAGAAAACTTAAAACACAAAACAACAACAAAAAATCCTGGTACATGAAAATAAAGATTTTTTTTTATAGCTCGGTCCTCACGTCGGTGGATTTTTTTCGTTGCTTTCCCAAGCTCCAGCCTTCCACTCAAAGCCTCTGAAAGCACCCTGACGTAGGAGGGGCGGGGCTTGGAAGCTGGACCGTAGGAGGTCCCCACTTCCAAAGTTTTGAGAGTCTCCTCTTAAATCGCCCTTGGCTGTTCCTTGCGTAACACCTGTGACAAGGAGGCTCACCCTCGCTCTGGGCAGCCCGGCCCCTGCTGGGGTACTATGACAAAAGTCTTTTCTACCCGTCGATTGGCAATCCACTCACTCCTTTTCCATCCACAAACACTGGACAGGCCTCCCTGCTTTCAGCACCACTGTCACTTCCACGGAGCTTTGGGGCTTCATATTTGGGAAGTCGATCACCAGGCCTTTCTTCCAAGGCCCCTCTGGGTAGGCTTGAACGGCCAGCCTCGCAGTCAGCCACTGAACAGGCTCACCATTTGCACCACCCAGAGACTTCTCTAGCACACCAGCGCCTCGAGGGCCCAGTGATTGTCCCTCGTAGAATAAGCCAAACCGCTCCATGTGTAGGAGCCAGCATGGGACATCCCTTAACCTTCCGGTCCCCTGCCAGTGTCTCCGTCTTCCCTGTGACACTGTGCATCCCGGAAGGAACGGGCCCTTGCGGCGTGCGCTCAGAGGATTTCCCCCTGGAGGAGAAGGAGCCAGGAGGATCTCGACAGGTACCTCTTCACTGGAAGAGCTGGGAAGGGCATGCAGGGAGCGCTAGCAGAGCATGTGACTCTTGACCATAGGGAAAGCGTCCCTCTGAAAGCAGCCGGCCCAAGAGTGGGGCCACCAATGTCTGGCTCTGGTCTGGTCAACCTGGTAGAGCCCACGGTTTGGAAAATCAAACCAAAACCAACCCAACCCACAGGCCCTGCGTCGATTGGTTGCAACCCTGTAGGGCAGAGTAGAACTGCCCCATCGTTTCTAAAACCAGAAGAGCAACGTCACTGTCAATGAGTTGGAAAGACAGGCCCGAGCTGGCCCTGTGAGTTGCCAAGGTGGTAACTCTTGACGGGAGTAGAAAGCCCCATCTCTCTCCCACAGAGCGGCTAGTGGTTTCGAACCTCGGACCGTCAGCCGCCCGATGTGTAACCACAACACCGCCGATGTGACCACGGTTTATGAGGCTGTCGATCTTCTTGGGAGCAGAGGGCTTCAGCTTTCTCCCAAGGAGAAGTCGAACTCCACACCCAGAGGCTAGCGACCAGCATTGACCGATGCTCCATCAGGAAGGGGAGCCGCAAATGCCTCTCAAAACACGTTGGACACGTTGAACTGGGCTCCTTGGAAGGGCCAGCCT